AGACAGACACAGAGAGAGAGAGACACAGAGAGAGACAGAGCGAGAGACAGACAGATTGAGAGACAGAGACGGAGACAGACAGACAGAGAGACACACAGAGAGAGACAGAGAGAGACAGACAGAGCGAGAGACAGACAGATTGAGAGACAGAGACGGAGACAGACAGACAGAGAGACACACAGAGAGAGACAGAGAGAGACAGACAGAGCGAGAGACAGACAGATTGAGAGACAGAGAGAGACGGAGACAGAGAGACACACACACAAACAGAGACAGAGCGAGAGACAGAGAGAGAAACAGAGACAGAGCGAGAGACAGAGAGACACACAGAGAGAGACAGAGACGGAGACAGAGAGAGACAGACAGAGACACAGAGACAGAGAAACAGAGAGAGAGACAGAGAGAGACACACACACAGAGAGAGACAGACACAGAGAGACAGAGAGCAGAGAGAAACAGAGAGACAGAGCGAGAGAGAGAGAGAGAGACACACACACACACAGAGAGAGACAGAGAGAGAGAGAGACGGAGACACAGAGAGAGAGAAGGAGACAGAGCGAGAGACAGACAGAGATTGAGAGACAGACAGAGAGACAGAGAGAGAGAGGAGACAGAGCGAGAGACAGACAGAGAGACAGAGAGTGAGAGAGAGGGAGGGAGGGAGGGAGAGACAGAGAGAGAGAGAGAGAGAAGGTCCAGCGGGTACCAAGGAGAGCCACGGAAGTGGTCTTATTGCAAAAGAGCCTTGTGGCATTTCCGCTCACCTGCTTCCCTGCAGAGGGAAACTTGGAATAACCATTTTTTCATTCTGGTTTTCCTTCTCCCCTCCGGCCTCAACGCAGTCAGCCAAACTTTTCTTCAGTTTGTCTGAAGATCTTGGACAAAGATTGACGAACGCATCGCGGGTCGTCCTGAACGTACGACCACATTTATTGTTAATTTTAATCGAATTTTAAATGTTATTGTTAATCTTAATTGGGTTTGTTTTTTGGATACTCTAGTAATTATTTTTTTTAACTTTTGTAATATGTGTCTTTTTAAAGCTGGTACGCTGCCCTGAGTCCTTGGGAGAAGGGCGGCATATAAATCCAATAAATAAACAAACAAACAAACATTTGAGTCCCCCAACACTTAACGTTGCTCCGTGAGAAATGTGTGAATTGTGAGTTTTGTCCCGTTTTACAGCTTTTCTCGCCACATTTGCTAAGTGAATCACTGCGGTTGCCAGAGGAGAAACACTGGCTGTTAAGTGAATCTGGTGTCCCGGTTGATTTGGCTCGTCGGACGGTCGCAAAAGGGGATCCCGTGTCCCTGGGACATTGCGACCATCGTAAATGTGAGCCGGTGGTCAAGCATCCGAATGTAAATCACATGACAGCGCGGACGCTGCAACGGTCGTAAGTGTGAAAACCGGTCACAGGTCCCTTTTTTCAGTACCGTTGTAACTTCGGTCACTAAATGAACTGTTGTAAGTCAAGGACTATGTACAAAACCCAGCTGCCAAGCAGGACCTGATAGTGGCTGTTGGGAGTATACTCCTAGTGTTGGGTAGGCAATATATATCTATCTACAACAACAAATGATGGTTGTTGCTTTAAATGAGTGGATGTACTTAACAGTTGTAATTAACTTTACTATAAGNGACAGCTTTAAGACTTGTGGACTTCAACTCCCAGAATTCCTCCTCCAGTCATGTTGGCTCAGGAACTCTGGCACTGAAGCACGCAAGTCTTAAAGTTATCAAGTTACAAGACCCTCGCACCCCTTACCCTTTAGGGGAAAAAAAAACCTGGGGGTGTTCAAACTTGACAGTTTTAAGACTGTAAGGTTTAGATACGACTCTTAGAGGCGGGCGGGGCGATTGGTGAGCCAGCCAATCAGTGAGCGGCAGGCGGGGCAAGTGTGGTGCGGACGGGTGGGGGGAGGGAGCTGGAACCGGTTCTAAACGGCACGGTAGATTTGTGGAACATCTTTATAGAAGAGGTTAGAACTGGCAGGAACCCATCCCTGCCGTCGCCCCAATCCAGCTCCACTGCGCATGTGCGCACGCCTCCTGCCAGCCAGCTGGTCTTTAGGTCTCGGGGCGCATGCACAGTGGGGGGGGCGCATGCAGGTGAAGCGTGTACACATGCATGGGGGGGCTGCATGCATGGGGGGACGCTTGCATTGCATTTTGGGGGCTCACGCAGCGCCCCTGCACCCTGTTTCGGCTTCCAGGTTGGTGCAGGAGGGCTTCCAGGCCCAATGTCGGAAGTGTTGGAGTGGGGTGCATAGGTGGGCGGAGCACACGGGGGTTGCACATGCACACACGGGAAGCAGGGTGTCACCCCCCGCATGCAATTGGGGGCACGGCATTGTGGGGTGTGCTTTCGTGACGACCAAAAGGTTAACCACCACTTGACTAGGGTCTCCCGCTAGAGCCAGGGGGGTTGGACTGGAAGACCCCCAAGGCCCCTTCCAAATGTGTTGCTCTGTTACTCACTTGAGCCGTCAACACTGCAACCACATTGGATTCTTGGACGCCGTCCTGGAACTCAACAACAAAGCCGTTGCTTGCCTTTTAACTCACACCCAAAATTGTGCAAATCCCAGAGAGCGAGATTTTTGGCCAAGGGAAGGCCTTCCCCGGGAGACAGACAGTGGCGGGAAAAGATTAATATTCCAAAAGGCAGCAAGGCTTAACACGATGTGTTAAGATCAACGCGCCGCCTCCTCCTCGTGGGTTTCCACCACACCGTTGGCAACCTGTTGTGGTGAGATGGGCAAATCTGGAAACACAAAGGCAGCGAGAGAGAGGGGGGGAGGGAGGGAGAGAGAGGTGGGGGGAAGCGGGCGGCGGGATCTGGCTGACGCTCCCTGTCTTAACATTCCAAATTCTTGGCACAAGCGCAGGCCAAGGAACATGTACAGACAGACACGTACAGGCTATGCAAAACACACACACACACACACCAAGAGAAATTTCCTGGAAGGAAGACCTGGATCCAGACACACAGAGTGTGTGTGTTTGTGTGTGAGAGAGAGAGAGACACAGAGAGAGACAGAGACAGAGCGAGAGACAGACAGAGACAGAGAGAGAGACAGAGTGACAGAGGGAGAGAGAGAGAGACAGAGAGACGGAGACAGAGACAGACAGACAGAGAGACACAGAGAGAGACAGAGACAGAGCGAGAGACAGACAGAGACAGAGAGAGAGACAGAGTGACAGAGGGAGAGAGAGAGAGACAGAGAGACGGAGACAGAGACAGACAGACAGAGAGACACAGAGAGAGACAGAGACAGAGCGGGAGACAGACAGATTGAGAGACAGAGAGAGACGGAGGCAGAGACAGACAGACAGACACAGAGAGAGAGAGAGACACAGAGAGAGACAGAGCGAGAGACAGACAGATTGAGAGACAGAGAGAGACGGAGGCAGAGACAGACAGACAGACACAGAGAGAGAGAGAGACACAGAGAGAGACAGAGCGAGAGACAGACAGATTGAGAGACAGAGAGAGA